AGTATAAAAAAGGGTTGGCTGCCAGTCCACACTATGCTGGTCGCTTCCAGACTTCACATGCAGCAGCCAATCCTCCCGGCCATGGCCCAGAGGTTGGGAACCTCCAACTTAGAGCATTCATCCCATTAGTATAAACATAAGTTCCACGTGAAATGCCTGCACTGTTTGCTATAGCACCACGAACACCATCAACACTCAACAAATAGTGCACACTATTTTAAAAACAGAAATAGTTATAAAATGTTGTAATCAGTGGTTCAAGAGGCCTTCCACAAAAACCATGGATAGGGCTACATTTTCTGAGGTAACTGCTTCATTTATTTATACACATAAAATGTCCTTTAGGATTCTTTTTTACTTTTCCATTTAGCTGGGGACTTGCTGGTAACAGTCGCACCTTATCCAGATCCTACCTTAAAAAGGAAAAATACCAAAGCGGGACAATAAGACTCTAAAAGCAAACTTCTAACACAATACAACACAGCAGTCTGCCAACCTGCATATCACTTTCCTGTAGTATTACAATTGAAAATAATTTACATTAACTTCAACAGCAGGAGTTGAAGATATCCTTGCATCTTGAAGGTTTGTTTTTTTTTGCAGAGAAATCCATCCATTTATAAAACAAATGCTATAGTGTAACAGTCCAGAAAGCTCAAATGAACTGGATCATGTAAGCACCATATCCATAACACACTATGTTGGGATCTGATCCTGAAAATACTTAAGACAAGTAATTTTTTCAACTAAGTATCTTGCATTTTTCTTCCCCTTTGCTTTCTGGTTGTCTTTAGGCATAAGCAGACCTTGTGACCCTATTGCCAACAACCTTTCAAGAAACAAGTTTACAACAGATGTTGTCACATGCTTGTGGGAATACTGGCATTCACGTGGGGCTCCCCAGGGTTGTCCTCAGTCTAGTACTATTTAACACCTTCATGAACGGCTTGGATGATGGGACTGAGGGCACGTTTAGCAAATCTGCAGATGACACCAACCTGGGTGGAGTTGCAGACACTCTGGAGGGCAGGGCTAGGATCCAGAATGACCTGCATTAATTGGAAAACTGGTCTGCAATCAATCAGATGAGATTCAACAAGAACAAATATGAAGTCCTGCATTTGGGACAGAATAACAACATTCACAAATACAGACTAGGGAATGATTGGATAGGCTGCACTACTGCAGAGAAGGACATGCGGGTTATGGTAGACCAGAAACTGAATATGAACCAACAGGGTGCTCTTGTTGCAAAAGAGGCGACCTGGGCTGTATTAACAGAAGTGACATTTGCAAATCAAGGGAAGTGAATCTTCTGCTCTATTTAGTAGTGGTGAGGCCTCACCTAAAGTACTGTGTCCATTTCTCAGCCTCACTCTTTAAGAAGGATGTGGACAGATTGGAGAGTCCAATGTAGAGAAACAAAAATGATTATGCACCTAGGAAGCAGTACTTACAAGGAAAGACTGAACGAGCTAGGGTTATTTAACCCACAGAAGACCAAGGGGGAATTTGATAATAGTTTTCAAATAAGTGATGGGCAATTAGAGAGAGGATAGAGACTGGGCTTTTCTCTGTGGTTACAGGGGACAGGACTAGGACCAATGGCCTGAAGCTGTAGCAAGGGAAAATTCAGACTGGCAATTAGAAGGAACTTTATGACTCAGAGTGGTCGAGCACTGAACCTATAATATTCTAAAGATCATTTTAAATATTCATAGGAGACTCCAGCAGACCTCACCCTGCCCTACAACATAAATTACATATTCCCTCAAAAGCCAACCAAACGCCACAACCATTTCCTTCACACAAGAACTCTGAATGCTGATCCCAATGAGCAATAGAAGAGACTGCTAAAAACACTAAAAACTGTTTTCCTTAGCACCCAGTAACTGGACAGAATACTGAGTACAGAGCCTAAATTCAAATCCCTGCTCTCTGCAATACAGATTTCAAATGCACAGCAAAGAAAAAGAATTATTTAGAAAGTGACAAACAGCCAAATCCTAAAGTCCTTCTTCATGCAAAATATCTTACTCAAAAACAGTTTGCCACAATGCTAAGTAAAGATTCCAGGATTTGGCCCAATAATTATAAACGGTGAACTAAGGAACAACTGTTCTTCAGGAGGAGGTGGATGGCAATTTTATGTTGGGGAGAAATTTAGAGAAAAGATAGCAAAGCTATAATATGGCAAGAAAAGAATTTTCAATTTTCCCATAACAACTTTCATTTCTGGAATGTATTTCCTATTTATAACTGTAATACCAACCTGCTTCAGGGAGAAATGAAGGCCTTCTGAAACCAGAGGCCTGATTCAATACAGAGTAGAAAGAACAGCACAAGACCTACTTTAACAGATAACAGCCTTACTCAAGCTGCCTATGCACTGCCTCTCAACCTAGAAAACCCCCAAAAAGAAAGGGAAAAATATATATATTTCTGCACAGTATATAGTGAGCCTTGTATAGGAAGCAGGACGCTAAGGAAATGTAATTTTGTTGTTATAAAAGGAAGAAAATATTAATCCCACTTCTTTTAATAACAGATTTACTTACATTGTGGCACGTTGTCTCCGTTTGGACTTGAGGTACTTTGTCGTATCCTTTTTCTAATGGACTGATCTGGGTTGTCCAAACTGTCCCCTCGTGTACCTGCTGAATCGTTCGATTTTCCTTCACCTGTACATGGCTTGTCAGGATCCTGAGACGACATTTTTGACGCGTTCTCACCCTTCCCTCTCCAAAAAAGAACACAAAACAGGAAGGAAATAAATCTAAAACATTTTTTGATGCTGCAGAACAAACAAAACAAGCAGAATTCCCTATTTGATTATAAATGCATCATCAGACATCATGTCATTTCTATAGATTTTTTTTTTCCCTTTATTCTTTTTAACCCTAACAAAGCCCCCAAAATACTTGAGGTAGCTTCCCACAAATATATGTTTATTCCAAACAAGATCTCAAAGATCAGATTCTTTTTACTGCTTCTCACTAAAATATGCATAGATGAGAGGAAAACAAATCTCCTTTGTTCTTTTCAGGTTGGTCACATAGGTATGACTTTTGAGAGAGACATGTATACATTTTTTTTTATAAAAACAATGACAAAGTTAGAAGTGTTTAACCTTAATATTATACATGCTCCCTCTGAAGAAGTACAATAAAGTGTTTTGCTCATAATGTATTTTAGATCTAAAACTAATTTCTGCAATTGTTTATTAAACCCCCCACCCCCAGTGTAATCAATAGGAAGCCAACTGAACCAAGAAGAAAGTGTGGGAGAGAAACCAATGTAGAATCTGGCCCCTAAAATTTACTTCCTTGTAAGAGCTATGATTCATCCACAAGAAGTAAGGAGTGTTAATTAAACACAATAAAAGTAAAATGCACTATAATCTCTACAGCTCTAAATTGTTTATTAGATGTGGGATTTTACAGTATAGTATTATGTCACTCTAAGTACTCTACAAAAATGGTCTTTGTTGTCCCCTTCAACAATTTCAGCTGTTTCACAGATATTTTTTTTGCCCTCTGAAAGATGTAATTTACATATATTCAATTTAAAAACATCCTAAGAAACAGTAAATTTCTATTTATTGGTCATAACTAAGTGGGTTAAGGGAAGCTGGAAACACAGTACAGTATTAGAAATATATAATCTCTCTAAAATCAAGTATCCAGCATCTTCCTGACTTCCCATCTCACAAATATCCTTTAGATAAAACTTAAAAAGCAAAAACTTTTACATTTTGCACTTAATATTGCTGGCTGCAAAACATGGAAAAGAGAAGCTGCCAGCAGTAAAACAGATCCAGAAGCATGCCAAGGCTATTAAAGGCAACCAGGAGCCCAAAGCCTGTATGGATGAGCATACACCAAGAGCAAGTGATACCAAGGAATTTATAAGAAGCTGGTTTACATTTTTATACAGCCATTAAGAGACTGAGCCTGTTTACATTACCTTAATGTAGGGAGGACATAGAGAACTCAACAACTTACATTTGGTAACACAATTGTGCCTGAAGGGCTCCACTGTGCTAGATATTGTACTTACCCTTAGATAGATTAGGAGACAGTTCTTATCCCAGAAACCTTGACAATTCAGATGTCAAGATTTGGCAGCAAAACAAAAACAGGATTTGCAGCATTGGCAGCTCTAACCTAGCTACCACAGGTACTCATAGGAGTGAAGACATGGTACCACAGGGTTCAGGGTAAGCTAGAATTCAGAGTACAAGCCTCTGTGGACCCTAGGTATGTATGGTTTGGTGGCTAAACTGGTTAGTGCGAGGCAATTAATCCACAACAGCTAAATTATATCCATCACAAATATACCCAAACATGCAAGGCTCACATCTTCAGTTCGCAACGTAGCCATGTCCTTAATGACTTTGCCAAATCTATAGAAGGGCCAGTAACAGAACCCCACTAGAGTATCTTAATTACAAGACCATCCTTCCCCAAATTTAGAATTTACAATTGAGAGCAAGGGTGTCAAATCTACAGCCTGCAGGCTGGATCCAGCCCATAAAGCTGCATCATCTGGGCTTCCAGAGGCATTGACAATTCAGGGGAAGGCAAGCAAGGGCAGAGCCCACCACTGAAATCCAGTGTACAGAACCCCTATGGGGATGTATGTTGGCATCAGGCGGGAAGATGGCAGTGCATCAAGCAACAGCTGTGTAACCTGTGGTCACAGCTCATCCTGCCACTGCATCTGGAGCTAGCCTACAAGGATCTAGCCCTGTTGTCCAGATCTGGCTGGAGGGGAGGTAGTGTTGGTTTGATACCCTTGACCAAGAGCTAAAAGGCTTAACTCCCTTTTTCTCACACCATGCACCAGCCATTCTCCATCTAAACTCAAAACAACGACTAACTCTGTGTCTTATTTCCCATCTTTTGAATCATTCAGCACCCATATTCAGGGCAAGCACATCAAAAAAGAGTGCCCACATCAACATGCCCTTGTGCTGGTTGGTACAGGTATGATTCCAGAAAGCCCTGTTCATACCTCTCTAACCCACAGGGCTACAGCTAGCGCTAGTCCCCAGGGCTGACACACGGCTAACAAAGTCACGGCTATAGTAGAAACCCCAGCACCAATCAAGTGCCGGAGCCACCACGTAAGCTAGAAAAGGGCAAGATACTAGAATGTACCAGGAGTGGAAAGATGAGCAACACTGGATCTTAGCCCTAGGGAATGAAGGATTTCAAACACTGCAACAACCAGAAGGATGTCTAATAATAAAGCCACCAGAAGAGGAATGCCAAATCCAGCCCACAAAGCCACATCATGTCATGGGGGGCACAGGGCTGGAAATTCAAGAACGGGGCCTGCCTTCTAAATCCAGGGCACAGAGCCCCATCATGCATATGTCAGCAGCAGGGGGCAAATAACAGCTGTACTAACCCGCACTGCCACCACATCCAGATCCAGCCTGTGAGGATTCCCCAGACTGGATTCTCTCTGGGAGGAGGCAGGAAAAAACTGACACCCCTGATCTAGAAGGTACTTATAAATTATAGGTGCTTCAAAAGAGCTAAAACGAATCGGATATATCCCATTAAACAAAGAGGAGAGAAGTGACAAATATAATATTCAGTTTGTGACTTTTATTCCACCAGAAGGCAGTATAACATTTTTATACATTCAGTAGATTATATCAGAATCTCCCAAACTGTGAACTGTCCTGAGACAAAGATGATTCAATATTATATTCAATTTTAAGGGTGCATGGTGACCAGCAAAGTATTTTCAGGCCTGCTAGCAGTCTGCTGACCCAAAAAACAAACACTGGAACCACTAGCTCCAGCTATCTAGTCTCATAATGGGAGTTCCCCCTAAACTCCCACTGCTGCTTCCTTTGAAAGAGAGCCGGTTTAGTGCATTAGCATCTGTCTGTTTATCCTTTCTTTATATATATCTTTTCTGACCAGTAGCCAGACAGGTCATAACCATTAACGCATTTTAATCAGCCAATACGCGAAAGTAGGGGAAGCATTTATGAACAGGGAACAGAGGCACAGAATGGCTCGGGGTTACACAGTACATCAGTGGGAGAGAACTACAAGATCCAGCTTTCCTAGATTCTTTCACAATAGCCCATCAGGCCTATGCTACAGCCCCTCACCAGCAAGTGCCCACAAAGCAAAAAGCCAGGGGCTATTGCAAGGCTGTGCAATTCCCCCCTCCCGGAAGAAGAAATGTTTTTAAACCACTGACTACATTAGTGCAAGGAGGTGTTGAAGAAGGGCTACCCCATTTGATCACCAGCCTGCTCAGCAACAAGGCAAGTGGATGCGTTTGCTGGTTGAGTTCCCTTATTCGCAACCATCTTTCTTGCTGGTGGCTCCCGTCTGCCAGGAGGCTTCACGAACGTGGCTAGTGGGCCCTGGCAACCAGAGTTCGATGATGCTTCTTCCAACCCGCCAGCAGCACCTTCTGTCCCACAGGACCCCTTGCGCGCGCTTGCTCCCAAAGGAGCCCGTCGCTTCGCACCCCCCACCGGAGTCACCCAGCGGCATGACATCAACCCTGAATCCGAGCCACCATTCCCGAAACACAGGCAGGCAGGCCCCTGACTCGGCTGTGCCGCTCTGGAAGCAGGGCCAACGCTTGCCTTATCGCTGAAAAGGCTGGAGAGGAGCGAGGTGGCCCTTTTCAAACACCCCCTCGCAGGGCTGCAGTTCAGGGGGAGGAACACGCGTGTGGGCCGCCCGGACTGGCCCTGCACAGCTAGCGCCTCCCGCCTGCGGCTTGGTCCAGGCCCCTGCAGCCCGGGGCTCTCCGGGGCTGGGGCTGGGGCCCGGGGGGGCACCAAGCTGCAATCTCCCCCCCGCCCCTTCCCGACTCAGCACCTACCCGGGCGGCGGCGCCCACGATGCAAGGCCTGCGCAGTCCCACCTCAGTCTGGGCTCGGCCGTGCGGCGGGGAGCCCCGCAGCGCTCAGGGCAGGGCCGGGCAGTAGGACGCTCGGGCTCGGGCCCCAGGGGCCAGGCCCACGCGTAGCAAGCCTCTCGCGGCGCCCAAAGACACCTCCTGCATGAGACCCCCAGCGCCGGCCCTGGGTCTTGTGCGGGGCCCACCGAGCATTTCTGCAGGGCAGCCGGCACCCCGTAGGCCGCGAGCCCCGGACTGGGGCATGCATGCCTCACAGAAGGCTGGGGGGTGGGTTTGTTGGTGGTTGTTTTTTTGTTTGGGGGTGGGGGAGGGAGTTAAAAAAAAAAAAAAAGAAATTGTGTGTGTTCCCAGCCAAAATCAAGTCCAAAACTGTGAGGCAGTGTAGAACCAGAAGTGCCCTACAGCCAGCAAACATCTTCCACCCCCAACAGGGGCTTCAGATATTTCCAACATCTTTTGGTGGGCATGCTACATGCAGGCTCCAGCCCAGAGCTTGGGGGCATCCAAACCCAAAGGCTTCACCTGCCTTAAGTGCTATGACCACAGAAGCAAGTGAGGGAGGAGCCTCCCGTTTCCATAAAGTCAGCTTTAAACCCCCACACCTCAGCAGCTACTAAGCCACGCCAGAAGAACAGTTATCCCCAGGAATACTCAAGGCAAACCACCTTCGTGGACCCAGACACAGGGCATTTCAGCATCTGCGCATCAGGTCCATTGCACCAGAGGCAGCAGGCAGAGCCAGGCAGCGGCCTGTCATGCAGCACATGCCCCACTACTCAGTGTGCCCAAGACCAGTGCTGGCATGCACTGTTGGCACAGGGGTCCAATCCAATCTGTAGAGCAGCCCTGTGCCCCTCATTTGACATGCATGGCTGGAGTTTGGCACATATGAGTTCAGTCTAGAGAAAGTGGACATGGGGGATGGAGCTACCTAAACTCAAAACAGCTGCTTTGGCAAAACCTGTAGGGGCATAGACTTACCTCAGGAAGCAGCTGCTGCTGTATTTTTGAGTAGACATCATTATACATTAGTCTTTTGAAAAGCCGATTTGCTCCTAATATTTCTGACTTCTGATTATTTATTTATGCAAAGGTTTCCTTTACTTTTTCAGTGCTAGATCCAATTGCAATATCAGTATCCATTGATTTGTGGAACAACAAAAAAAGCCAAAAAAAAAATCCAAAAAAACGAAAAACCAAACCAGAAGGAACTTTGTTAAGGCCATGAAGTCAACATTTTAGAAAACATCATCTCTTTATTTAACTAGTTACAGAAACAGAGATCCAACCACAGCCCCTAATAAGTGGCAATTTAGAGAATTCCTCTGGTCAGCAGAAATCCTCTGACCACAGAAGACAGGATGGGAAAAGGCCTCTTGGGCCAAGTCCATTGTTTTTATCTGGATCTCAGATTGGGTTATGTAGCTGAAGCAAGTTTGCTTTTCCTGCCAGCCACCCTATTCAGCTAAGAAAAACTGGAGTATATCAGGACTTTGTTAGAATACTGCATTTACTAGGGGGTGCACCGATAAAGACTCTCAGCTGATACCAGTAGCCCAAGGGTTGTCAACTGGGGGTATGCATACCCCCAGGGGTACTTTGAAAGGTCTGAGGGCATATAGGCAGGCAGGGATGGAGCACCACCACCCCACAGGAGCAGGGCTGGGGCACAGCGAGGGCAGCGGCGCCCCTCTGCAGGCCAAACAGGTGCCACCTGAGCAGCTGGACACATGGGGAGAAGCTTGCACACAGCTGCCACCACCCCATGCCACCACCACCCTCCCCTCCTCCTCAACCAGCTGCTGGGGGTACTGCTCAAAAAAAAAAGTTGAAAACCCCTGCAATAGCCAATTAACTAGCCACATTGGTCAATACTAGATTTTGGGTATTGGATCAGTAATGAACTTAGAACTCATTTGAAAATCTTCAAGCGCCCACACCATCATTTCTAAGCATGGGGATGCTGATATAGGAGACACGGTGGCACTTTAATTAAAGCATATCTCAGAGCTGCTCTGTTTAAAACACTGCTCCCCCCCCCCCGCACACATTCCCGGAGCACATGTAAGAGTGACCCGTGCCAGTGACAGCCCTTGCCCTTCAACCTCAACCTACGAGCAGGTCCCCGAGCCTGAGGCTACCCACGGGTCTCCAGGCTTGACTCCGCACTGGGGGAAGGACCCTGCTGCACACAGCATTGGAGAACAGCTGTCCCAGCCAGGTTTTGGCCCAGGGCCCTGGGATGCAGAGTCCTGGGCGCACATGTAAGAGTGACCCGTGCCAGTGACAGCCCTTGCCCTTCAACCTCAACCTACGAGCAGGTCCCCGAGCCTGAGGCTACCCATGGGTCTCCAGGCTTGACTCCGCACTGGGGGAAGGACCCTGCTGCACACAGCATTGGAGAACAGCTGTCCCAGCCAGGTTTTGGCCCAGGGCCCTGGGATGCAGAGTCCTGGGCACCGAGGGTTGAGTCATGCTAGGCTGGGCCAGGCCAGGCAGCTCAGCTTCGCCGGCCCCTTGCTGCCCCAGTCGTATCTGTACCTTTTACGGCATTTGCCGTGGCCCCAGCCCACACTGCACCAGTGCCTGGGACACCATGGCAGGTGCTCTGCTCCAGCCCGACCCACTGGTAAGGAGATGAAGGTGCATCTAGGATCACCCTGGCTTGTGGGAGGGAGCCCAGGCATCCAGGGGCCCCAGACAAAAGGCATAATTAATCAAATCAGAGAACATTATTAGCTACAATGGAGAGAGAAAAGCCAATAATGTAAATTCCCTTTTCAAAATTGGTGCCAATCCGATAGGCAACCAATATTGATGCACCTCTAGTATTTGCCCAAACCCAAGACCATTTCAAATTTAAGACAACACTCCAATAATTAGATTCCAAATGTGGAAAATTAGAAAAATGCTTTCAATTTTTCACGTGTAGAATCTAATTATTGGAGGGTTGATGTAAATTTGTCTCCCACACTGCTGCAGCAGGAAAACAGTGGCAGCAGAGCAAGTGGTGGGGACAGCAGGGGCATGGAGCCAGCCTCCCAAGGCCCCCCTCCCCTTCCTGCTGTCCTTAGCAGATCTAGGCACAGATAGAATCCCAGTGCTGCTCCATCCACTCCTACCCAGTCTTGCAGGAAGCAGCTGTGCAAGCAGCCTGGCTTAACCAGGGATTCCAATGGTGCGCAGGTTCTTCCTTCTCATGTCTGCTCCCTGCTTGGCTCCCCTCTCCTACCCCCTCCCTGGCAAGGAGCAGATGCTGGAAGAAGGAACCTGTGCACAGCTGCTGTCCCTGGCTGAGCTGGGCTCCCTGCATAGTTGCTCCCCCACAGCTCCCAGCTGAAGCTGTCTAACTCCCAGCTGATAGAGAGGAGCAACAGGGGGGGCCCCAGACCAGGTCCTGCCTCACACCACAGGGAGAAGCTCTGGCAGCATGCAGGTTCCTCCTTCCCTACCCCATTTGCCCCAGTGGCTGGGACTGCACTAGAAGGAGGAATTTATGTACTGCCACAATTGTTCTTTGCTATGTAGGGCAGGAGTGACTGTGCAGCTCCCCTGGTGCCTGCATCAGCTGACAACTCCAGCTGGGAGCCCAGGTCAGCAGCAACAGGCATACAGACTACTCTTCTAGCATGTGCTCCCTGCCCATCTCCTTCACTGGTAGGGAACAGCCACTGGACAAAGCAATCTGTACGTGGCTGAGCCAGGCTCTGCACCACCGCTGCCCACAGCTTCCAGTTGGAATTATCTGACACCAAGACAAGACTTTGTCATCCACACCCTCACCTCACACTTGAATTGGAAGGGGGGGGGGGGGGGGGGAAGGAAATGCCCTTCATCTTGGAATCAACTACATAATAAAGAGTCTCTCTCAGCCTTAAGAAGGATGTTTGTACCCAAAAGCTTGCAAGAGAACAATTTTTTTTCCAATTATTTAGTTGGTCTAATAAAAGATATCACATTTACCCAAAGAACCTTGTCTGCCTACGTCCTTAGACCAACACAGCTACAACCAAAACACCCCCAAAACATGGAAGATATGTATATCAAGGCTGTTTTATAAAACTTCATCTTATGGTAGAATATCTGCTCTGTGTGCTTTAAAAAAATAAAAATAAATAAATAAATAAATGTTTGAGGGGGGCGTTATTTTTAACACCAAATGAATTCTGTAGCTCAGTTACAAGCAAAATGTGGACTTCTAAAGATGAAAGTAAAAAAAAGCCAAAAACCCCAACTCTCACGTACTTATGCAGAGGAAGTAAAATTTCCTGCCTTATTTTATACAGAAGTATCTTTATAAACATAAAGAACTTGTACTAGGGGTGGTATGTGCGCGCTTGCATTTCCCCTGTACTTCTCATGACAAAGCACAAGCATGCCAGAAGGCAGAGTACATTTAAAGACAGAACTCCAGCATGTCAAAGCTGTGGTTTGGCTTCACCCTTTCAAAAAGAGTGACACTTTATGCTTACAAAAAGCACCTGCATGTAAGTATTAAATGAATAACAGCTGGTGCCCCAGCTTCTCAGAGTATCCTGAAGAGCTGGTCAGAGGGATTTTAGAAGGGAAATATAGGGAAGGAAATTTTGCCCAGGTATGACCAGAATGTCTGACATTCTGAAAAAGATGAGGATTTTCCACCCCCCACCTCAGCCTCCCTTTGCCTGAAGGTTGTTTATACCTGAAAGCTTGCAAAGAATTTTTCCAACTATTTAGTTGGACTAATAAAAAAAGACATCATATTTACCAAAATAACCTTGTCTGTCTTGATATACATACACCTTTCATTGTCTAGGGCTGCAGACAATAGAGAAGAGTTTTAAAACAACTAAATAAGACTGTCACTTTAGTATGCTTTTGCAGTGCAAGTAAATGTTTTACTATTTTGTTTGCCTACAGAAAGCAGCCTGACCATTGTTCACTACTGATAGTGCATTTTCTCTATTTACCATTATTGAAAAGGTTCTATTGAAGTAATCAGATATTTGAA